GAAAATGATCAATTCTAGATTTGATTGAGTTAATCAAAGGGCGCAATGGGACATTGTTCTTTACTGAGTTCTATCTGGGGTGATTTAATTATAATTATCATTAATTTTAACCACGTATTCGAAAGGCTTACTTAAGTCAGAAAATCGAAAAAAATACTGACTGGAAACGCGCTGGCGCAGCACACAGCGTTGGAACGTTGAAGTGAAACAGCTGATTTCCCCAGTAGTCTTAAAATTTGCGGTTTCATAAGCAAAATCCAGTGGATCATCATTTAATTAACAAAGTTCTATGGACGGATGAGTGCTGTTTCAGCTGTATTGGCATTTTAAACATATAAGTACCATACTACTGTTTGAAAAGCAATAAGTCACACAATAAGGTATACATACTATAAAGACAATAATGTATACATACTATAAACTGAAAAATTAACTGAACATCAGTGGCGTACGCTGCTTTGATCCTTGGGGGGGGGGGGAGCGGATATAATAAAAAATATATTAATGAATAATGGTATTTATATTAATTTCAAATATTACAGAATAAATTCTGTGTCTTGGCTTGACAGTAAGATCGTCAATTATTGGTTGATGATATGTATTGTCAGTGGCGTTGTAAATATTAGTAGCGTTGCAAATTAAATATGGGGATTTTGGGTTTTTAATTGGTAGTGCGCAAAAAGTATACCTATTATTAATCACCAGCATATAAACCTGAGTTGGGAGGGATATATCCCCTTTATCCGCCCCCCCCCCCCCGCGACGCTACTGCTGAACATAACACTAAAACTCATATTAGTCCAGGGAACGAAAAGAAAAATGGGGTAGAACCTCCGATAGGCTAAAATCATATTTTAATATATAGAATAGATATTGTTTCATATTGTGGATTAAAATTTACGTTATTTTTATAAAGTTTCAACTGTTAAAAATCACCCTTAATGATAAAAATATAAAATTATTAGTTTCTTTGACCTTAATATATTTTTATATCGCATGTATTATAGATAGAAATCTTTTCAATAGTTTATGGTATTATAAATAATTTATTACAATAATTCAACCCTTAAAAAACTACCCCTAATGACAAAATATTTAAAAATAGTTTTTGATAGTACAAACAGGATACATTAAATTCTTTTACCTGTTTATAATACAATTTATAATTTATCGCATTGTTTTACCCTTAAAAACCACCTCCAATGACAAAATATAAAAAAATGGCTTGTAAATTATTTAAAATTAATTATAATGTCTAAAGTGTTTATCAGATGACTGGGTTTCTTAAAAATAATAATAAAAACAATTTTATACATTTAAAGTTGATAAGCAGAAGTATTAAAAGATTGAAGGAAAATGTGAAGGTATTCTATGTATATAGAATGCTCCAAAGTTGTGGATAACCAAAAATTGATATGCTCCGAAATTTGAAGCGGTAAGGTACCGTTGTTTATTTAACGATAACTTCCTTAATTTTAAAGCTATTAAGACGATCCAAAAACGATTTTACGGAAAATTTCGACAGCTAAAGTACTGTAAAACTGAATATTTTTTAACGTGTTATTTTTGAGATTTTTGAGATTAAATGGTTTGAAAAACATGAACATCTGTTAATTTTTATCCTACACAAATAAAAAAAAACAAAATATACTGTGAAAAAAATATAAACTTTTGTACTCTTGAATATTTTTCGTTCTTTTTTATTTTTAAAGTTATATTCAAAAATATGTTATTTTTTTAAATTAAATTTTTTTTTTCAATCAAAACGTAATATTTTCAAAAATATGCATTCTAAACCGCTTAAACTTGTATAATATATTAGCACATAAAAAATGTAAATTGTAGAAGGATAGATAACCTTTAATTTTAAATCTCGTGAAAAATTCATCACTTTTTTTACTGACTTTTTTTCCGAAAAAGCGAATTACATAATAGTTTTATTTTGATCAAAACTCTCTTAATTTTTATGCTAATGACTTAAAGTCAAGTTCAATTTAAAGATTTTTTAAAGTACTTTAAAAATATACTGTGTATTTTTCTTGAAAAATATAATTTTTTTAGTTATTTTACGTTAAATGCTTCCAATTTAGTTTCCGAAAATCATTCATGAAATTATCTTCAACCAGCCGTATCTCAGCACCTATTGCACCTACATAAATGAAAACTCAATCTTTTTCTTTTTCTATAAGCTAGAGAAAAACTACTGCAAAACGTTTTTAATAAAAAATGCACATTTTCAATCACCAATAACTCAAAAAATATTGACTTATCGGAAAATGTTCATACGATACCGTTTGCTTAAAATTTATTGCCCTAGAAGGGGTGGCGCTCATCGACACTATATAACTTTTGTTTCTTGAGCTATTTTCTACTTACAGTCTAAGTTTCACGTCAACTGGTTCTATCCGAAAGAATTAGGAGGGCAAACCCTTGGTTCCCTGGACTATATCCAATTATAAAACATAGAGAAAAATATCTTATTCATTCTTGTGTCTAAGTAGAAAGGTCTGTTTTGTCGTTCACTATTAAAAACACAGTTAAAGCTAGGTTAATGACCGAATACTGTAGATCAAGATTCACTCTCGATAAACGTTTGTAGGTCCCAAAAAGGCGTTTAAATGATGATTTAAAAATATTAATAAGTAAAATAATAATCATTTTTTTAATGATGTAATCATTGATTTGTGCATTTTTGTGTACTAGAATGTATTAAAGACTAAAACGAATTGTTACAAAGTCGGATTATATATAGTACTTTTTTATAGACACTACTATAAGCTTTACCTTTCTTCTGGCGGTGGAAGCACAAAAGCCCCCACAAATTGATTATAAAATAAAGTTTTATTAAGCGAAATAACATATAAATTTCTTTCTAATTTCGCGAAACTCTAGTTAACGAGGCCATTACTCCTGCCATAATAAGAAAAAGCCACGTTAATATAGAATACCTCACCATCATGTGGTTGAGAGCTTTCCACTTTTTATAGCACTGCATTATGTAAAAGGGCCATAGTCGTAACTCAGCACAATGTTTACGGTAACACGCGTTCAGTGTTGATTTAATTGTTAATGTCGACTTTAATATAAATATTGATCTAAATTGTAAATTGGTTCTCAATTGGTAAGCTAAATATAAACAGTATTGATTTTGTTTGAATAACTCCTAGTTATTGTATTATTATTATTACGCGGTACACTGCATGTTAATGAAATATTTTCAGTGGAATAGAATTATGTACCTTAATTCTGTATTTTCGGGTATTCTGAGAAAAATTGAGGCGATCGACCTATGGCACTTAAATAACAGAAAACATAACTGATGGTATTATAAGAATCTAATTTAGTCTTGAAATTCGCGAAAACCGTAGTTTTATTATTAGGAATAACAGGAATGACCAAATATTAAATAGGTGAATAATAAAAACTTTTTTAACAACACCAATGCAAAAAATTAAAGGGTCAAAAGAATTTCCGAAATTTTTCCGTTTTAGTTTAGTAATGCTTCAGTTTAAAAATATAAACTAGTATGTGCACAAAAGTGTTAACAAGTTAGTACCTTTAAAGAAGCACAAGAAATAGAGGAAATCATAAATATGTATCTAAGTTAAAGATCTGCAGACTTGCATTAAAATAGCTAGTTTTTAACAAATACAATGTAGGTCTATCTATAACTAAACCGTTTGCAGCAACAAGTTTCTTTATAATTAATAAGCGCAGGTGTGCCAACTTAAGGCATGCAAAGTGGTAAGTTCTAAAAAGAAAATAGATTCTGAAACTGTCATAGGAAACTGCAGCAATCGGTTTGCTGGTTGAGAAATTTCCATTATTGGCAGTTTCTGGTAGATCCTCATGTTATTAATTAGTTGTGGAAACAGCTATAACTGAACTAATGATAAATATAATACAGCCTTTTCGTTGCTCCATCCAAGTGTAGGGTGAAATTAATAAAAACTGTTAATAGTACATACACATCCCATAAAAAGGTACAATTTCATTACTTATATAGACATTTCGCTTAGGTATATCTACAGAGTGATTCAATCATAATGTCGGCGGACGTTGAAGCGAAACAGCTGATTTCCCAAGTCGCCTTGAATTATGCGATCGGTTTCAGAATCAAAATGCAGCGGATCCTAACTTTATTAACAAAGTGATATGGACGGATAAGTGTTTTTTTAGTCGCGCTGGCAATGAAAAAAAGTTCGGTACAATTTTAGGGGTGAGTCATCCCCAATGACCACCTTGTAGTGCTTCAATTAACTTTAAATCATAGTCAAAGAAGACCAGTAGTAAATCTAAATCATGTACCAAATTTGGTTCTTCTGCGGTAAAGTGTTATTATTTTTTTTCGAAATTTAGGCCCCCACTTTGAGGGCTGATAACTCTTCAGGGCTGCAAGTTTGTATATAGGTAAGTTTGGTTAAATTACAATATTTTGGACACCCCCACATGCACCTGCCCTGTGTCGGTTCTTATGCGGACACCTTGTATACGTTCCAGAAAATTTATTTAAAAAAAGGTGCTATAAATAATTTGATGGGTAATTATCATTAATAAAAAAATATTTATATATCATCAAAAGATAAAAAATTGATAATAAGTAAATGAAAAAAAATAAATAAATAAAAATATTTCTTCAGTTTTCAGAGCACCTACCTGAAAGCGAGACCAACACCAACGAGAGGGAATTGTAGACCTACGACCGCTCATGCATCATCTTGCACAAACTAGCGCAACATAAAAATGTGGAAAGAAGGGTAAGGTCGGACTAATTATACTAATTAATCCAAGTTTCGCCCTTTGTCGAGTCTGAACAATCTCGCTAACAGTGTATGGCGCTACTTGATCCATCTACAAGACGGTTGTTTCTGATTCCCGTGTAATTACGAACACACTATCCTCCTCTCCTTCTAGCCCGGACGCCCTCCCGTGTTGTCCTCCTTTTCTACAGTCGCTCGGGAAGGGAACCCGTCTTCAGTTTGTTGCCGACTCTCGTCTAGTTCACAACGCCACCGTTTCAGTCGCAGCTGAACTTCGGCGGGGTTCACGTCATACGCGTTAAAGCTCCACGATCCGCGGTTTTTTTTTCAGGCGTCGCTGAAAAACCCAGCGACGCTCGCGACGCGAACTCTGAGTTGTTGCTTTTCTGCTTTTGCCCTTCGACCTGACTACGAACGAGCCGCTGAAATTGTGCTGAAAAAAAGCCCGACTTCAGTGGATTATCGCGAACGGTGTGCTATGAATTACGAAACGACCTGGGGATTTGCTCCCTGAAGGAAAACGAATGGTGTTCCATTTCTCAGCCAATATTGTTTAACTAATAACCGTGTCTAGTGTTTATATTAAACTTGGTGCCCTCAGTGGGGATATTGTTCCAGTTCCTTGGATTTATTTTCGCTCTGTGATACTGTGATCTGCTATCAATGTTAGCGTGCCTTCTTTGGGATTTAATATTGTGATTATTTTTATCAGTGCTCACTCGTGTTTGGTTATTGTGGTCTTTATCCCGAAATTGTGAGTATAATTCATTGCCATTTTTAGTGAAATACTTTCAGTGCGAAACAGTTGGATATTTTAGTGAAAATTAAGTAGATACACAAGGTGTTTACGAAATAAGTACTCAAAATTGGAAAGTATGTAAAACATGTCGAAATATGATGAAAACCTTACTAGAGTTGTCAGTGGCGGCCCCTGAGGGAGATACAGCCCCTTGAAAGGGACACAGAATAGATGTGATGTCTGAATAAGTGAATAAACAATTTTAATTATTACAGTGTTTTAGTTCTACCCATAATCCCACCATTCCTGAATCGAAAATATGAAAATTTATCATATTTTGCACAAAAAAGGTACTCTTGTTAGATTTTAACAGCATGAGCCGTTTTCCAATAAAATCCATTACAATAATTTGCACAATTTGATACATTTATTTTCAGCAGGAAATTTTGAGCACCTAATGAATTATTAAAATGGATTTTACCAGAAAACGGCTCATGCTATTAAAATCTAAAAAGAGTACCTTTTTCATGCAAAATATGATAAATTTTCATAATTTTGGTTCAGGAAGTAGAAACAAGTGCGCACAAAAAAAAATCATATAAATAGTAATAAAAACTAAGTTACCCCTGCAAGGGGCTCTATCTCCCTTAGGGGCCGCCACTGACAAAAACTCTAGTAAGGTTTTCATCATATTTCGACATGTTTTGCATACTCTCCAATTTTGAGTATTTATTTCGTTAACACCTTGTATTAAAAATGTTTATGATGAGCGGCAAACGGAAAAGACTGAGAAGATCTGAAAAAATCACTCCACCTTCGTATTATAGTTAAAAAGAGAGCACGTTTTGATTTTGGTACTTGCTATTTTTGACCTCTAGCGCTGTGTCATCTCGATAAAGTGTTAAATTTAGAAAATGTTTACTTCTGAGATGAAGTGAAAAAAATCACCACACTTTCGAATGGCAGATATAACGTTAAAAAATCAACGCACTTCTGAATGATAATAATTGAAACGATATAATAGCACATTTCTCCTACATTTAAATATTTAAATGTGCTTTTTATTCTCCAACAAGGGCATGTCACTTAAAAATAGTGTTAAATATAGAAAAATGTCTCTTTATTTCTCTTTCTTTATCTAAAATCATAAAATATACTCGTAAATCAAGCAAAAACGAATCATAGCACCATGACAATTCACATTTATTGAGAACGGTTCAGTGAATTTACCAAATCTCTTGATTGAAAACTAGAATCATGTTAGAAGACCAATTCAATTTTTTTTTCTACGATGATCTGAATAAAACCTCGAATATCAGTTGAAAAGGTAGAACAATATGTTTTGATATTCATGCCGTGTATTTTTGATTCCCTAACACAAGCGTTTCGAAAGAGTGTTACATTTATTTTTTTTATTCCACTTTTGAATTATAATAGAAAGGACAGAACAACGTATTTCTTTTATATTTTGATTGTTCTATGATTTTGAAATATCGTTAAAGTTGAAAAGATAAAACGACATAAAATTTATTATTAAAAAAGTGTGTTTTTTATCACAGGCGCGTCAGATCGAAAGAGTGTTAAATTTAGAATATATTCTCTATTTTTTAATTTTTCTAAAACTCGTGGAAAAAATGAAATCAGATCAAGCAAACACAAAATTCACATTTCATGACTGAAAACTAGAATCATGTTATAGAACGTATCTAAAATTATGCGTAGCCCGACGATGCCGAAGTATTTTTAAACGGATCTGAACTCATTTCGAACCATAAGCCATATGTTCGTGATCTGGCAGAAATCCTCAAATGTGGCGATCCTACTCAAAAATTGAACTTGGCCCAAATAGCTAACGATTTTTTCAGCGGTTCACGTAGCCGCATTTCAGAGCGTGTTAGTTATTGCCGTAGTGATTTTCATGAAAATTCACGTGATAATTTGATATGTATTTTTATTACCAGCGTGCGTGTTGAGAATAACGATTGCATCAAGATCATTAGCCCGAGATAGTAGTGAAGGAAACAATGCTCGGGCAAGTTTATCTGGATTTGCCTCAGATTTCATGCCACTGAAAACCGTCCCGAAATATTACAGAGAAATACTTCAGTGAGCATAAATCCGGAAAAAGTGAGGCGGAGGATTTTTAAAAATCCGCCTTTTTGTAACTGACAGCTGCAGTGGAAAATTTGTCCGTTTTTCTCTCAAAAGATGCTTTTCAACATACAGTAAATATACCTTTTTTATTGCAAATAATGTGGCGTTTCATAAAATAGCTGTGTTTTTCAAAATCTCTACTGGCATAGAAAGTATGGCAGAAACTACTACAGGTATTCTCGTGGGTTTCTACATTTTAGACAGGACTATGTCTTCAGATGCAAATTTGTCGTTGAAATATTTTTAAAACGAATTACCTAAACTAAAATGTGTTTATGTACCCTTAATAATTCGCTTCTGGACATCCTATATAAACAGACGACACAAACTTAAAAAAAAAAGTATAAAAAGGGGTTTTTGCGTGAACGAAAATTATTTTTCTTCCTTTTTTACAAGCAAGAATTCAATCAAAGATTTATTTCTCAATTGTTAACTTACAAACAAGAAAAAGCGTAAATTGACCTACCAGTTTCTACTTAAAGTGGCATAAGAACTAAATTATTTTCTTATACAATCTTTATTATGACGGTAAACAAGAAAACAAGCCAAAATGATTTTGTTTAAAGCATTGAAAGTATTCAACGGTGTTTTGCAGCTAATTTATATTACGTTATTAATTTTGATGTAGAACGAAATAACAAATAAACTCCTTAAATCATACTTTATATAAAATCCGAGTATATGCGCGTGGGTTCATATTTTAATACCGCTAACAAGCATCCCTTGGAAGAGTGGAGCAACATGTAAGCGAACAACGTAGAAATGGAAGACGGAAAAGCTGTCTACATAGGAATTTTTCAGTCGCGAAGTTCCATGCAGTTTTCTAATTTTCCCCCCGCCACAAGTAATTTTTATTAAAGCCCGTTATTAACGTTGGGGATTCAATAAAATCCGAACAATAACTCGGAAAAAAACGTAAGGAATTTTTCTACTTAGAATGTCATTAATATGTATATCAGACAAATTGCCATTCCACTTATATTAATCTTTTATGAAACGTCGTTTTTAACTTTTATGATACTGGGTAATTGGAATACTATGCAGTGATAAAAACCACCTACCTCGATTGTTCGGTATAAAATTCTTCATAGAAAATATAATTGATGAGATTTTTTTAATTTTTAGAAAACCAGAAATTAAAAAAATATAATATGTATGTAGCAAGTAATGTATATTCATCATTGAAAATAAATTTAGAGTTGAATTAGGTACGATTTTTCTAGACATTAAAACACTGGAAGCAAAAAGTGAACTGAGTAGAATTTTTAACATTAATTACATTATTCTCCGCATAGGTACTTTAACACTTGAAACTAGAAAAAAAAGTAATTGCTCTTATGAAAAGTTCCAAATATAGGATACCATAAATTCAGTAGTTGATAAATCAAAAAACAAAACGATTTTTTTCTATGGACTATGGACCTATTTTCTTTTGTTTTTAAGACGCAAAGCACCAAAGACGATTTTTTAAACTCTCGTCCAAATCTCATTTTCTGCCTGTTTCGAAAAACTTAGGACATGTACCTATGCGCAAAGTAAAAGCACAGACAATGTAGCTTATCGCTTCAGACCGCGCGTTAAATGCTGGAAATTACCTAAAAAGGATTCAGGGCCTTGTTAGCCGGCATCCAGAAATAAAATTTAGCGTTTTACGCAAAAAACAGGCATTGATAAAAAAGCGTACAAAATAAATCCGTAAGTACGCGTGACAACATTGCCAAATTGTTGTTTATATGTTGCTAGGATATGCGTAGGAATGCGCGCCGCTGCATTTGATTCTTCCTAACATTCTGCTGGTAGCAATTCGGAAATTTAAAACTGCTGTTCTATTCCAGTAGTGGTCTGGAGTGAAGCTGTATTGTCTATGGTAAAAGTATGTAATTAATTTTCCTTTCACTGGTTTTGTCTACGAGAATTTTTATACGAATATAGTCAGCCACAGGAGAAGTTATTTAATATATAGGTACTTCCAGGTTTCTGGTAAGTTAGGCGAGCCTAGTTTGAGTTGGAAGCATAAAATTTTACTAAGCCTTAAACTTCTTACAATGTTTCCTAATATTAATGGACACGAAACTTGCAACGCAAACGCCACGTAGAAACTCCGGGTTATCCTGGAAGTTGTCATGGAAATAAAATAACTTGCGGAGTCTCGCCGGTTGCAGGACGAAATATCCTTTTTCTAACCGCAGCTGGAGGAAGAATAAACGCTCTTATTTAATTCTGATATACACTTTACCGGCAAACCACGTGGTACTTGCAATGAGGGAAAAAGAGAATAGAAAAGAAAAGTGAAAAGGAGGAACGCGATATTGTATTTTCATAGATTTTTGCTAAAAACACTGGTAGCAATTAAATTAATTTAATTTTTAACTAAGTTTTAAAAAATGTTATAAATGTTATTTGAATGTTTTGATTTGAATATTTTAACTTTTTACTTAACAACAAATTTTCAAAGGTTAAGTCATTCCAAAATTGTCAAAATTGAGTTTTTTAAAGAAATTACATAAATGTAGGACTACATATTTTGTTTTTGATATATGTACAATGCAACATCAAACTGATTTTATTTTTAATCGAATCTTGTGTCATATCTTTTACAATATGCAATGTATGGCATTAAACTTTGATTCGGTTTTTGAAAATGTTATATTCGAGAATCATTTTTGCACAAAAAGGAGTTTTACGTTAATGTAGTGTAGTTGTTTTGAAATGTAAATGAGAAACTACATCTAGATATCTGAAAACTAATAACATTTTAGCATTTTTATACCTAAACCTGTGCAATACATTATATCTTGTGAAAGACATGATCATTGATCACAGTCATATTTATCGTTCTGTATTTTAAAAATAAAAATATA